TTTTAATTGTTTTCTGCTGCTTACTACTACAAAATGTAAAATTACATCTGTGGTTCATACTATATTCCTACTGGACTGTGCTGTTCTAAGCCAGTTCAAGGCAAAAATGTTTTAAGTTAACATGCCACTGCCAGAGAGGGCAGTCTGTGGAAAGCAAGGTTGCCCTGAGATCTGTATTCAAATCTTGATTCTGGCACTTACCTGTGTGAGCAGTGGGGCAAGTTATTTCACCTTCCTGAGTGGGATTATTATTACTATTATTCAGTAAAGTTATTTCACCTTTCCTCATCTAGTAAATAATACAGATAGTTCAAAAGCTGTCTGTTCTGCTATAAAATAAGTTTCTTTAATGTGAATTAGCATATGTGCAATTGGTGAATAGGGAAAAGATGCTATGTCCTAAGCAGTTTATCCCAACACGTTAAAGGTTTGGAGTGATCAGAGGTGGTCTTTCTACAATTACAAAGGCCTCAGTCATATGCAATAGTTCCTTCTTTTGGCTTACAAACTGATGGCCAGTAGCTTCAAGTATCCCTTGCATTTTTCACAACATCAAGCACTATGAAAAGCTGTTAGTGCAGATGAAAAAGCTGGAGACTTCCACACGTCTTGTTTTAAGTAGTGTGGATTTTTTCTTCATGAACCCTGTTATTTTAGTGTCCTGTCCTGTAAGATATCAGGATTTCCAGGAATGTGTGTGTGATTACAGTAGAAACACCTATATAATATATACTGTCACCCCAATTGCCCTTTAATTCAAGATTTAAAAATGTTCATTAGCTGAGAGAATACTTGCAACTAATACTGTGGTATGGTCTGCTAGAGATAGAAGTAGTTTAGTCAGAAACTTTATTGTAGAAAATGCCAGTTTTGGGGATCCCTGGGTGGCGCTGTGGTTTGGCGCCTGCCTTTGGCCCAGGGCGCGATCCTGGAGACCCAGGATCGAGTCCCACATCGGGCTCCCAGTGCATGGAGCCTGCTTCTCCCTCTGCCTGTGTCTCTGCGCCTCTCTCTCTCTCTATCTCTCACTCTCTATGACTATCATAAATTTAAAAAAAATTTAAAAAAAAGAAAATGCCAGTTTTTTATTGACTTTTGTTTTTATCAAAAGGGAAGAATTGCAATTCTAATACTAGCAGTAAAGACTAACAAATTTAATACAAATGAAACAATAATAAATACAGATATCATTGTTTGTCCTTGATCTGGTGCTCACTGGACTAGACAGGAAGTTATATGCACTGTGTGTTTAAGAAAAAAATCTTGAGGGATCCCTGGGTGGCGCAGCGGTTTGGTGCCTGCCTTTGGCCCGGGGCGCGATCCTGGAGACCCGGGATCGAATCCCACGTCGGGCTCCCGGTGCATGGAGCCTGCTTCTCCCTCTGCCTCTGTCTCTGCCTCTCTGTCTCTCTCTGTGTGACTATCATGAATAAATAAATAAAATCTTTAAAAAAAAAAAAAAAGAAAAGAAAAAAATCTTGAAAGATGTATATAAAATCCTGGAAATATCCATTACAGACTATTTCTAAAAGTTAAAATGTACTCTAGAATATTGTAATTATTTTTTAGCTCTCTGGATATGGAATCCCACATTAGACTTTTGTACATGTTTTAAGGAGTATATGATGTGTAAAAGTAGGGGCTATCTGCCTCAGGATTTTTGTGAAACTTAGATATAATAATGTACATAAGGGATTCAGCCACATCTGGCAAATAGAAAATTCATGTAAGTGGCAACTATTATCATTATATTATTCAGGGTATACAAACTTGTGCAGAATTCCTTTTCCCCCTCCTAATAAGGCCTTACATATAGGTAGAACAGGTATTTAGACATCTAAAAACAAATTTCATAATTTGAAAACTCAGAATTATCATAAGGGTGTGTGAAAGTCTTAAAAAATACAGTGCAAGGCTACAAACAAGTCAAAAATTACAAATGAATGATTTAATTTAATAAACTTTAGGGAAAAAATCTATCAGAACAAATAAATACGGCTGTTTATTCTTGTTATTCAAAGACAAATTAGCACTTGCTAAGTAATAAAAACGTTTTCACGGTGGTATTTCTCTTCAAACAAAAAAACTTAAGTGAGTTTAATAAAACTATATTGTGCTGTGGGAACTGCATTTCTATTTTTTGGAACTGCACTTTTAAAGAATTAATAAAGCGGTTTTCTCAACTGAGAGGTGGATAACATGAGAGGAAAGAGAGCTTCTTTGCCTTCTGCGAACAATCTCTCCTTCCTGCCAATGGTGGCCAACTCATATTTCTACAGGAAAATGCCTGTATATATAAAAGATATTCATTTAATTCTGATATACAGTCAATGAAATTATTATTCTCAGATGATTGTTTCCTATTTCAAATCATTGGAAAAAAAAGTATTTTTTTTCTGGTTCTGCTGAAGAATCAGACAGGAAATGTGTGGTTTCCCTCTGGAGTCCGATGAGTTTTTAAAGTATTTCCAGTATGATCTCCTTGAAGAGTGGGCTGTGACCACTAGTGACAGGGAAAGCATGATGAGATCAGGATCCAGTTTTGGAAAGGTGGGGAGAAGAAACAAAAGAAGAAACAGGAAATAACCTTTAGGGCCTTAGTTGTCAAAGATGGAACATCATATCTGGGAACTTGTTAGAAATGCAAATTATCAGGCCTTGCCCCAGTCCTGCAGAATCAGAAACTGGGTGCAGTCCAGCAATCTGTTTTAACATGATTTTGGGATTCTGATGCACACTTAAGTTTTTACAGGATTAAAAATACTTCTTTAACAAACTTAGGAAATCTCTCTAGATACTCGATTGTACGTGGAAAAATCAAATAATTTTTAAGTTTTCCTTTAATAGTTCTTTTCTGTATGGTTTATCTACTTCTGAGCTTAAAAAAAAAAAAAAAACTGTAAGTGGAAACAAAGTTACACTTCAGCCCACAGGCAGGCATGGCTGCTTGCCTCTTCATGTGGTACAGTTTTTGGGTCAGTCCTTATCTCTTCAAGACCAAGAATCCAATTTCATCATTCTACCCAGAAATAAACAGGCCCCAGGGAAAGGAAAATAAAATCATAAGGGGCTTGACTGATAACTACAATGTCAACTTTTTAATTTACTATGAGAAATGTGATTGCTAACAAGACAAGAAGATTTAGATCTATGATTCTTTCCCTAATAGGACTGAACTAGTCATGAAAGTCAAATGAGTTTTAGTAGATAGAAAATCTGCTTCAGAGTACAGTTGGGTGCTCTCATTTGCTAGTGAGAAATAGCCTGAAAGCCTGGGGCACCAGGTCAAATTGCAGGGTTCTTGTCTCCAAATTTTTCCACAGCTGGTTTTTGCACATATTCCATGTAGCCTACTATTCTTCCATTTGGAAAAGGCTTGGCTTGGGCATGCTGTAAAATATCTAACTCTTCAAACTTGTGAGGCACTCTGGATCCTTAATATACTTAATTTATTAACAGGCATTTACCAAGTTCTTATGTACCAGGCTCTATGCAAAGTATTGGGAATTAAAAAAAAAAAAAAACCATTAAGACGATTCCACTTGTCCAAGAAGTTTAGGAAAAATAACCAAAGAAAGATAATTATAAAACATAGTAAATGAAATAATACAGCCATGCACTGTGTATTATGGGCAAATTCTCTGGTACTCCTAGACTGAAGGGCGGGTAGTTTGGAAGGTTTTCCAAGGAGATGGAGAACACTCCGGATGAAGGGGTTAGATATGGAAAGTCACAATTCATTTGCAAACCATTGTAAATGGCCACTGTCATCTATTAATTTTTTAAAAAATATTTTATTTATTTATGAGAGAGAGAGACAGAGACAGAGAGAGAGACAGAGGAAGAAGCTGGCTCCATGCAGGGAGCCCGACGTGGGACTCCAGGATGAGGCCCTGGGCTGAAGACGGCGCTAAACCGCTGAGCTACCCGGGCTGCCCACTGTCATCCATTTAATAGTGATGTTAGCTTTTATTTTGTTAAAATGAAAAATCCTGCTTTTAGCCTAAACTCCGTACTGAGGTATTAAATCTATGCAGTTTGAGGTCAAATCTAGTAGAAAGAGATATCTAATTTGGTGGAAAAGCCAAATTATGGGTTTTTTTTTTTAAAGTTTTGTTTACTCTGAAACAGAAGCAGTAAGTGTATGTTAAATAAAGGTCCTAGGATTGGTCTTTGGCCATTTGGCACAATTTTTACTTGAAAGTAACTGAACAAAGTTTAATATTCTCAGGTTACTCTCATTTAAACTGTGACTTATCTCAGTAACTATATTGTGAGGTTTTTAAGAGCAGTTTGCTCAAGGAGAAATAAAAGCAGACTATTTTTCATTGCTTTTGACTACTTCTCAGGGAAGCGAAAAAGGCAAAGCATGAAGTCCTACAAATAAATTAACAAACCATAGCAAGAGCAAAGTCCCTAGGTTCATTAGATTCCTTCCTAAATCTTTTGCTATGAGGTGTGAATCACAGCAATACGGTAAGGGCTTCGGGGAAACAGGACAGTCGGCAACAACCGTAAGTCGTCTGCGGGCTTTTCGTTTCAACACCAGGGACAGCAGATGCGGCGCGGCCGTCCCCAAGCCCGCCCGCCCGCCGTCCAGGCGGACTCTGCCCGGGGCAGCAGCCGAGGCCCTACGTCCCCGCCGCCCCGGACCGGGGAAAGGGCGCCCCGCCGCAGGCCTTGCGGACGCGCATGCGCACCGCGCGTCCCCGCCGCCCCACCTCCCCCGCAGGGCCCGGCGCTCCCACCCGCCCTCGTCCCGCTCCACAGGCTCCCGGCGTCCTACGGGGAGTGGTCGCCGGGCCCCCGCCCCCGAGGCCCCGGTCGCGCGCCGGCCGCGGCGGCTACAGAACTTGCGCCCTCATTGGCCGACGCGGGCCCGGCCCTGCTCCCCGCGCGCCTGCGCGCAGCCGGACGTGGGGGAACCCCCCAGCGGCCCCGGGCCCGCGCCCACAGCTGGGGCCAGGTGGCCGGGCTGCCGTCCTCGGTCGCCCGCTTACCGCCCGGCCGGGAGGGGGCTCCGGGCGTTTCCGCGGAAAGCTTCGGGAGATACGAACACGCACTCCGAGACGGGGCGAGCTAGGCCGGCGGGCGTCGGCAATGACCAGGCGGCAGGTGGCGCGGCCTGCCCGGAACCGAGCGGACAGGCCGGGGAGGAGGGCGGCCGAACGCGCGCTGGCGCGGGAGCTGAGGGGACGGCGCGGGGGGGTGGGGGGGGAGCGCGCATGCGCCGGGCGCCCGGGGAGGGGGCGAGCGGGCCCAGAGAGCTTAGTGGAGAGCGCCTGATATTACAGGTCCTCGTGGCATTCCTTACAGAAGTATAGCTAATTCTTAGACGTTTTCTCCAGTTTACTTTTTGACTTTGGTTCCTTCAGTATCTGGCTATCATCAAACGAGCATTGCCCCCACCCCTTTTAAAACAACGATTCATCTCGGGTTTTGGCTTTATTTTTGCTTTTGTAGCTTTGACCCTCGGAACAGCCATAAATGAAATGAGGCAAATGCAACAACCGCTCTTTCCCCTACCTTTTGGTACTGCTGACAGAGAAAAAACAAAACAAGACAAAACAAAAAACAAAAAAACCTCTTCTATTTGCTCCATCCCTAAGGACTCTTACTCTTGACTTAAAACAACTTGGTCACTCGTAATCCATTCCATTCAATCCCATTTTTTCCCCTAAAAGCTTAATTTACCATCTTTAGCATTTTAATATTTTTTCTTTTTCCATTTTAATCTTTTCAAATGCATCCTGGCCACCAGCACTAAACAGTCTCATCTTTTTCGAATTCCTTTCTTTGGTTTTCAAATTTCCATCTTTAGGAAGGACTAACTTATACGTGTCCACTTACATTTTTCACTTGTCCTCAAAGGCCCTCAAACCGATGGTAGTAATCTCCAAACTTAATCTATTTTCTAGGTGCTATTTAAGTTATGGCAGTTAAGAGTTACCCGATTTTTCATACTAGAGAATTGAGCATGTTTAAGTCGTTGCATTACTTCCCATATCCCATTCCCAATAGTGTTCATTTCACGTCTCATCATATGGTAATTGGCATTATGGTAATTTTTGCTACGTGCTAGGAATTAACTTTTTTTAGTCTTGAGAGTGTATGGACTTAATCCAGTGATGCTATTATCCTGTTTGAGAACTTTAAGAAATACTTTAGTTCTCCTAGTCATGACTTTTTTATTACTCACCTTATTCAGGGTTTTTCTCTAAATGATTTAAGATTATGGTTTAAAATATCAAATCAAGGATTGAGAATGATCACCTTGGAAAATTACTGTGCTAAAGATCTGAAGGAAGACTTCAGAAAAGGAGTTTTAACTTCCTAAGGTAGTTAGGAACAGTCCTTGTTAGAGTATTTAGGTAGTGGTGTATGTTTAAAATACTGTTTTCTTTAGTCATACTTAATGTAACAAACTACAAATTTTCAAAATATGTACATTCTAAGATACAGTTATTCAGAGAGTAATTTAAAATTTTTTGGTATAACTCAAGTTGCTCTCGAATCTTGGTGTTTGAATCATTTTTGAATAGTATTTACTATTCTAGATTACATATGCAGAATAGGATTTAGCCTCTGTACTGTGTATACACTAAACTTATTTCATACCCCTAAAGGTTTATCTGAAAACTCCAGTTACTTTCCCTTTTATGTCTCCCTCTTATTAAATGCTGCAAAACATTGTGATTTTCCACTGTTTGGATTTCAGAATAAATAGGGGTTTACCATACTTAGGTTTACGTAAGTTAAAGAGAAGTTAAAAAGTAATTTGAATTCAAATTGAATGGTTATCCAGTATGGATAACCATCTGCATCCTTTAACCCCAATTTTTAGTTTGGAAACTATTAACTTAGTATAAAACAATAAAGGGCGAAAGGAGAATATAGTGAAAACTGTCTTTATTGCCTTTTATTTTCAACAATGATTACTTGAACTTAAAAAAAAAAAAAGCCTTTATTAACTAATGGTTACTGAAAAGCCAAACCTTTCCAGCCCACTTCATATTCTCCTTCAACCATTTCAGGGCAGAACAATGTTCCAAACTATAAACCTGTTCCTTATTAACATTGACAGTCATATGCTTAATGAAGAGCTTTGGATCCGATATACGAGCAGCCATAATTAACCTTTCCACTGCAGCTTGATAATCATCCTTGCTCCAAGATTTGTTTTCTTCACATCTACAAAGTGAACACCTTACAAAGTCAGAAACTATAGTTTCTTCAAAAGACAGTCATTTACATTTACTGGTACTAAGATTTGAGTTTTTTTTACTGTATTCTTCTAATAGTGGCTTTCAAATTTTTTTGAACATGACACACAGTTTATACTGTGACCCAGTATATACCCTCATACATAGATGGAAAAGTTTCAGAAAATACTTACGCTTATGACAATGTACTCTATTTTCTACTCTCTTTTATTTACTTATTTTAATAATATGGTTGCAGAGGTGCCTCCATGGCACAGTTGGTTAAGGTTCCAACTCTTAGTTTCTGTTTCAGGCCCTGATCTCAGGGTCATGAGATTGAGGCAATGAGTCTACTTAAAACTTTCAGCAATGAGTCTACTTAAAACTTTCTCTCCCTCTCCCTTTGCCCTTCCCCCATGCATGCTTTTTTCCTCTTTCAAATACATACATACAACTTAAAAAAAAATAATGTGGTTGTAATACCCTAAACTGATTTCACCACACAAATGCACTACAACCCATAGTTTGAAAAACACTGATCTAGAACACGGCTAATAGCCTCTCTCTGTATCTTGAAAGTTGATAATTGCATAACTCTTCATTGTAATGTACACCAAGAATACAAAATTTAATTAAATTTGGAGTTACTAACGGTCATATTTTTTACCTTGATATTTGCTATTTTTAATTATAAGCATATACTTAACAGCTAACATTTGGTAACAGAATTGTAGTTATATATCTTTACCAAATTTCCAGTTATTTTTAGTCTTGATTTAAGATTCTTCACTAAGTGCTAGAATTTACTTTTCTAATAACTCTTCTACCAGTCTCCAAATTTCATAAAATTCATAAAATTCTTATGACTATTTATCCTAAGGGACAGGGAGTGAGAAGTATTTAAAATAGAGATGTGGCTGTTATATTAGGCATCAGTTGTTTTGTATTCACTGCATCCTGCTCTTGGCACCTGTAGGGCCCAAGAGCAAGGCGCAAGAATGAGCCTACTTGCATTAATACCTTAGTGTGGTACATGGAGTGGTGGCAGTGAGGACTTCAACTTGGTCACACCAAGTTGAACAAATGGTTACAGAGAAGAAGGATTGGTCAGGTGCCTTCTACTACACTCTGGCTTAGAGAGTGGTGCCTAGAAGCTAGTAGATTGGGCTTATGCCAACTAGGTGCAGGTTTTTCAGTATAAAGAGGAATAAAATTCTGAGAGAGGTGAGTGTACCAAGGCAGGTCTTAGTATGATGATAATAATAGAGAAAATCATATTGTTTGTGACAAAGTTAAAGATTTAGGCATTTCACTAGTTATGCACTGAAGTCACAAACACCCACCAAATTCAAAATGAATAAAAAGGTTGATACATGTGGGTAATGGGAAGCTAAAAGAAAACCAAACCCTTCTTGGGTTGGGGAGCCCAAATGCCTCATGCCACTTGTAGTGTACAGTAAACATGGAAGCCCTCAGCAAAGAATAGAGCTATAACAAAAAAGCTCATTTTAGTCAGTTTAAAAAATTGTGGACCTAAAATACATTATATCCTGAGGTGCCTGGGGTGGCCCAGTCGATTAAGTGTCCAACTCTTGATCTCAGCTCAGGTCTTGATCTCAGGTTTGTTGAGTTCAAGCCCAGTGTGGTATCTACTTAAAAAATTATTTTCTAATTTTCCTCCCCTTTAGTATGGGCTAGATACAAATGACTTGCTATCACATATGGAATTAAGCAGAAATGACAATGTATAAGCTTAGACTAGGTTATTAGATGATAATTCTTCCTGGGTCTCTGCATTTCTAGAAGTTTTGAGAGCAGAGACACTGACTCTTTTATTCTGCATTTCAAGGATGTTTAGATAGTGAACCACCTTGAAAGACAAAGATAGGTTCTCTTGGAGCAAAGGGCAGGTTTGCTTATAGCCTTATAAGATGGAGATGGTGTTTCCCTGCAGAGCAACAGGGCAGGCAAGCTTATCATTCATCATAATAGATTTAGGTCCCCTAAAGTTCAAGATTACTCTTCTGTAACAGAACCCAGTGCATGTGCAGGTATCCAACTGGGCCCATCTGGGACTTGGGAGCAAAAAAAGAGATACAAATATGCAGATAATCATGATGCTTGCTGTACCATAATTGATAACATCTTCTAATGCAAGAGGTCTTGCATCTTATGCTGGGATCCAGGTAACTATGTCAGACACCAGTAAACTGAAGCAAAATTCTTGTTAAGAAACTCTAAAACAGGAGACCCATGAGATCTGTATTAGTTTCCTGGATAGGATGATAAGAAATTGGAGTAGTATAAGCCTAAATTCTGGGACTTTGAACAAAATTATTTGAAGAGATACCAGTCTGGTCCAAGAGCTCCATTATAGTATTATGCATTTGTAACATTTTAAAATGTTAAATTTAAAATGTTAAAATAGCATTTAAAATGTTATGTAAAACATACAAATGTTAGAAACTTGGCTGATGGCTTTATTTTTCAACAAAATACTTTATGGAACCAAATAAACTATCACATGTTTCCCTTTCAGACCTGATTCTTAGATCTTTTGTGTTGATCAAAAAGATACATAACTTTTAGATAACTATCTAAAAACTATCTGTACACATGAAAAGACTGATACTTAAAGAGGATCCATCTCTTTGAACATCTGACGGCATCTTTGAAGTTGTAAACAAACGTGTTTTTATTAACTCCTATGAGCTTGTCTGGTTTTAAGTCTCAAGTCAAATCCTTTCTCAATTTAAATGTTGCCAAAGTTTGTAAAGAGATATATACACAAGTGTATACACACACACACATATATATAAATGTTTGTATATATATATAATATGCATAAAATATATACAATATATATTATAAAATATATATAAACATTTACATTCTAGGGCCGGTGTAGGGAACCATGATCTGCTTTTAGTATGTGCTTAAAAGTTATGATCAACCAACCTTTTCAAAACTATCTGCAGTATCTGTGTAGAAGTTCCAGGACTCTGAATACTACTAGCATTAGATACCAGGAAGATTTCAATAGCTAAAAGCATTTCAATCTCAGATAAATAAGAAGGAATCAGCAGAATTTTTCTATATAAATTTCCCTCCAACGGTGGGTAGCAACCCAATGAAAGAGCACCTGGAAATCAAATAATAGATCAAACTTTACTAAAACCTCAACAGGTAAAAAGCTAGACTTCCAAAATAGTCACACATGATAATTACTTACATTACAGAATGATTCTTCACATCAGCACGTTTATTATATAAATTATATGGTGGTGAGCTTATCCAAGTATATTCGATATTATTCTTTGTGAAATACTTGTCAATTAAATATGAAGAAATACATTTTTAAAACTCTCCTAAAAATGACTTTTAAGCCTTATTGTAATAACTGCCCATTTATTTCAAGCCATAGTCAACACAACATAATTTCAGAATAACTAAAAAACCAGAATAGCAACTTGGATTTTGTTTTAATGGGATCTGGTCTAAAAGCAACTACATAGATTTGTAATTATTGCCTATCCTGAATTATGAATCCAAAATGTAGGAAAAAATAGAAATTATAATTTGCAGACTTTTCTGTCACACAGATATTTTACTATTTTTGAGCACTTATTTATAGTCCTGTTACAGTTTGTGTAATAAACATTTACTGTTCCTACTCTGTTCGGCATTGGGCTAAGCACTATTTAGATATAAAAATAAATAAAATACATGTCTTTCTTATAGGTGCTCACTATTGTAGGTGCTTACCAAATCATGTTCTAAAAATTTTACTTTCAAGGAAAGAGATAATAATTTTTCAACTGTTTAGATGCTTATTACAAATGATTTATAGGGAAATCCCCTTAAGTCCTAAGACCTCCAAGCTGTATATAGACAATATTATACTGTCATGTTTTACTGAAACCAATTTAAATCTGTATGTAAACTTTGTTTAAAATGTTTTTAGTTTCTTTAAGAATTAATCTAATGTGGATGTTGATGGTTAATCACTGAGGACCTATTCAGTGCCAGGAACCTGTGTTAAACATAAACACATAGGTTTTACCTAATTTTAACTGACAGCTTACTACTACCTCTGAAATCAGGTACAGTGACTCCCATATTATAGGTGACGGGGCTTCGGGGATTACCCCAACCTTGTGACTCCAGATTTTGGATTCCTAAATACTAGTCAGCCCCACCTCCCTAGGTCACTTCCAGGACTAACACACCTATCGACTCATTAACTTTCCTAGCTATTGATAGATAGAATTTACATACATTCTTCTTTTAATTACTGATCAGAAGAGGAAAACAAAAAATAAACTGAATAGAAATTTGGCAACATTACTTTTTTCCCCTAAAAGCAAATATGAAAAGAAAAATACTCCCGTTTGGTTTTAGGGGGAAAAACATTAACAGAAAGACACACTAATATCTCCCTTCCTGACTTTTCAGCTCTGAGAGAATTTTTAGGTCTAGGGAGAAAAAATCAGGAGCATCAGGAAGGCAACTTTACTGTCTGTGGACAGTTTCCTTCTGATTAGTTTGAAAACAAAAAGCAAAGCAAAGCCATAAAGAAAGCGAAAGATAGTTCACAGAGTGGAAAACCACCCCTGAAATTCATGTATGTGACATGAGACTTGCAAGGAGAGTATATATGTATCTATATGTGTATTATGTGTATATGTATATATATGTGTAATCTTACAGCTCAAAGAAACCCAATTAAAAAATGTACAAAGAAAAAAATGGGTAAAGGATTTAACAGACATTTCTCCACAGAAGATACAGAAACGGCCAGTAAGCACATGAAAGGGTGTTCAACATCATTAGTCATTAGAATCATGCAAAATCAAAACCACAATGATTGACTGTATATCTACCAAGAAAGCTAAAATAAAAAACAGTGTAGTAAGTGTTGGTGAGGATGTGAAGAAACTGAAAATCTCAAATTTGGGTGGTGGGTATATAAATATAAAATGATGTAGCTTCTTTGAGAAAACAAATTGGCAGTTTCTCAAAATGCTAAAAACAGAGTTATCATATGAGCCAATAATCCTGCTCCCAAAAGAAATAAAAATAGATGTCCACACAAAAACTTATATGTGAATGTTTGCAGCAGTGTTACTCATAATAACCAAAAAGTGGAAACATCTCAAATGTCCATCAAAGAATGGATGGCGGAGTATTACTCAATAAAAAGGAATGAAGTATTGATACATGTTACAACATATTATGCTAAGAACCTAGTCATAAAAAACTACATACTGAATTATTTCATTTACATGAAATGCTCAGAATATGCAAATCCACACAAATAGAGTGGATTAATTGTTGCCTTGGGCTGGGTCAGTAAGAGGCATCTGGGGAATGCTAATATGTTTAGGATTTCTTCTGGAGGTGCTGAAGATGTTCTAAAATTAGATTGTGGGGGAGGGGCAAGATGGCAGAAGAGTACAGGTCCTCAACTCACCTGGTCCCTAAAATTAGATTGTGGTGATGGCTGCACAATTCTGTGAATATAATAAAAACTAATACACTAATCTACTTTAAATGGGTGAATTTTATGGCATGTGAAGTTATTTCAATAAAGCTGCATAAAATATATTTTTTAAAAAAGCAAAACAAAGGCATTGGCACCACAGTCTTAACAGTGCCTTCATGAAAAAGCCATATCCCCAGAATCATGCACTACTAGGGTGATTATAAGGCACTCAAAGGCTTTCCTAGAATGTTAACTATGCGTGTAGATAAATCTAAAGAAAGAAAAAAAAAAAAATCTAAAGAGATACCAATGATATTTTAAATGTCAACATCATCAGGAAATAAGATGTTCTAAAGACTGATCAGTAATTGTAAATTATTCATTTCATTCTATAACTCAGGTACATTAAAAAAACCGAAAATACTGTCCTATATTTCACCTGCATAAGTCTCAGAAGTTCACTGCATATGAAACTAGGCACAGATGAGTTTAGATAAGAGAAAAAGTGCTAGTAAAAAAGGTACTGAATTGTACCTTGGCATGAATTGTTTTAACACTACTGAAAAAGAAAAACTCTCAAAATAAATTATGATTAGGGCTGGAAGAATTTGGTGGAATAGGGAATGACTACTAACGGATATGAGGTTTCTTTTTGGCATGAAAATGTTCTAACTATGAATATCTTACCACCACTGTAAATGGGTGAACTATCATGGTTTTTAGTTATATCTCAAAAAAGCTGTTAATAAAAAATTTTACGGGGATGCCTGGGTGGCTCAGAGGTTAAACGTCTGCCTTTCGCCCAGGGCGTGATCCTGGAGTCCTGGGATTGAGTCCCACATCGGGCTCCCTGCATGGAGCCTACTTCTCTCTCTCCTTATGTCTCTGTCTCTCTGTATGTCTCTCATGAATAAATAAATAAAATCTTCAAAACATTTTTTACAAATGATTAAGCTTAGCTGCTTTCATATAGAATCTTATTTCCAACTAACAAATAGAGATTCATAGAAATCTCATTTAAATGTTTCCAAGTTTAGGTTTTGTTCCTGTGGCATATAAAACACCTTCTAATGTCATGTTCCCCAAACTGCACAGTTATTTGGAAAATAAAGAATCCCATAAACATGGATTCTAAAAAGTAAAATTAAGAAGTAATATCAAACAGTACATATATACTTTCTAGTATACGTGTAATTTCTAGTAATCTGCAGGGAAATAATATAAGGGTTGAAACATAACCACAAAATTGAAGTGAGGTGTTTATGAAAAAACAATTCTACCTTTCCTCTAAATCTGATCATCCTTTAAAAGGATCCTTTAAGTTGTTTTTTAAAACAACTATGCTTTCAAAACTTCTTTTGATAGACCCAGTATATAATATGTATATATGTAACTAAAATGAAAACTTTACCAAATAATACTTAACCTTACTACCTGTAATGTACGCTAATATTTTCTTTATTTCACTGGGAAAAAAAGTTACTACCTGCTAAACTAATCACAGCTGGTAGTGTGAAAAACACTTCCAGGTTCAGAAAGGTTTTTGTGCTGGTAGGGATGGCTAGGATATTTGGCAAATCTGGCACGGTACTAACACATAGTAGGCACTCAAATGTTTGTCATACACATGGCAGTTGAAATGGGCACCTGGGTGGTTCAGGTCATGATCTCAGGGTTATGAGATGGAGCTCCGAGTTGGGCTCTGTGCTGGGCTCCATGTACAGAGCAAGGAGGATTCTTTCTCTCTCTTCATCTGCCCCTCCCCCTACTCTCTCTCTCTCTCAAAAAAAAAAAAAAAGAATTGGAAATTTAAGACAAATTACTATAGTAAGGTAAAAAAGAATTTTTTTCTGGATCTAGATTCTACACAAAATTATTTTCCAATTCAAATACCTACAAGGTGGCTGGGACTAGAGAAAGCATTAGTTTTCTAGGCTTACTGGTTAGAGAGAAACAACTGTAAATAGATTAACAAAATTCTATTACTAGGAATCATGCAAAAAACTTGTGTATCATGTTCAGGAATGGCAGCCTCTGTACTTCCCATGTGGCCTGCTACATAAATATTCTAACTTATAAAGATCAGGCATATAGCAGGGATGAATAAAATAAATATTCCTTAAACTTCATTCCACCCAATTATTTTACTCCTATATATTTCTAAGCTATGCCAAACTGGTTCAAATGTTATCATTTATTTCTTTTGTGCACCTTCCAGTGGGCATACTAATGTGCAAAGAAATGAAGATACAGTAATTAGAAACAAGAGAAAGGACAGGTTTCTTTTAAATATTCTTTTAAGATTTTTTTTTAATCTATTTATTCATGAGAGACACAGAGAGAGAGAGACGCAGAGACACAGGCAGAGGAAGAAGCAGGCTCCATGCAGGGAGCTGATGTGGGACTTGATCCTGGGTCTCCAGGATTACGCCCTGGGCCGAAGGCAGGCGCTAAACTGCCAAGCCACCCAGGCATCCCCAGGTTTCAAAAGAGAGCAAAAATCTGCGTAGACCACTATATTTGAATGTGTATCAACTTTTGAAACATATTTAAATGCCTAGTCATAAAATTATAAGGCTTCAGGGTTAGAAAATCAAAGTCAAAACTAAAATATCAAATATGTATTTTTAAAATATAACTTACTTTTGTAGTGGGCTCTAGCTTTGAGCCATAAACAACTCCTTCCCAAAGAAGTAATTAATCTTCTGAGAAAGGAGAAATCAATAGGTATGTTCTGTGAAATCATGAATTCTGCTACAGAGGATGACATACCAAGACTGTTGCTTTCTATACAGGCGTCTAGAAGTTTATTAAAAAGAAGGCTATATTGTGAGACCTCCACAGTTTCTGGAAAAAAAAAAAAAGATATAATGAAATCGATCGATTTTAGATTCTCCATCTTTTCTCTCTCACTACTTTTCCCTCTGCTCCCCTTGGCACTTTGCTACCTACTATGGGAGTCACAGTCACTAAAATGCAATCATCTTACATATTCTCTAAGAAACAAGTAAGCATTCAACAAAAACAAACTCGTTCATTTACTTTGTAACAAAATATAAGAAGTCTGACCAAATATTCCAGAAGCTGCATTAACACCCATTTGTAATCCCACCTGTGTCTACATCTGCAGGATCTCAAAATGAATGACTTGCATAGTTCTACTTGTGTTGTCTACAGTTCAGGCCTCAGATTTAATTTTCCATGACTAAAAATGAATCATCCCTTCATAATATTCTCTCTCAAATTAAAAACAAATCTTTTATTGGGTATTTCTAGTTCTCTCAATTCCTCATTTAGAAGTCACTTTGGAGACTGCCAAATCTTTTATTCCCTATATTCAATCAATTCAATCTATGACCTACACTTTGGTCTTTATCACTTTATCTGTTAACATCCTTTAGTGATCCAGACTTTAGCAGGAAATTAATCTCCTTACCTTTTAGTCTCTTCCTAAAAGTCTCCACCAATGGAATTTTTCCTAGAACACTGACTGATAAAACATTCTGATAAAGTGGTAACCTGCCACTCTGAACCCATTACTCAGCTCATTTTGACCCAAGCTCTATTGCTCACATTTCCCCTAACATGGATTCTCTTCCTGCTCATACAAGACTGCAGCATAAGGATTGAAGAGCACTACCTACTACTTTCCACATTAACATTCCCTTTTTTTGAACTTCTCATTTGCTAATTCTTCCATTTATTTCATGTTCCCTAGTTCCAAGGTAATGGAAACTAAGCTCCATATTTGTATATATATTAAATAATAAAAGAAAAAAGTTTTTTGCATTATTCTAAAGCATGAATTCTTTTACCACATGAAGCTTGTTGGGGGCATTACTGTTTGCTGCTGACCTGACTGATAGGGAAAGGGGACTGATGAAAGCACTGGGGAACTGCTGACAGCCCAAAAGTAAGCACCTCTGCTTTAAAAAAAACAAAAACAAAAACAAAAACAAAACCAGAAAAGCATATTCAATTTACAGAGAACACATTTTGCAGAACACAATTTCATTAAAAAATATATGCTCAACCAAAATACGTGCAGAATTATTTCTTATTTAAACACCGGGTGGACAGGAAATTGAGATCTTTAAAAAACATACCTTGAGAATTTTGAAAACCTGGTAGATTTTGCAAAACTTCAAATGTCTGTCTGTAAAGGTTCTTGGCTAAGATTTCATGTGCAATTGTACAGAGCAGATTATGTCGATTGAGTACATCCAATCTATCACAAGGCCACAGTGGTGTACTGATGATCCATTCAGACTCTTCCAAAAAGAATAAAGTACTAATACTTTACCTATGTAAATTACACTTAAAAATATAATCACACTTGTTTTCAAATATGTTAAGTATCAAGACTTGAGTATGTGTTCAGAAAAGCTAACAATGACTCAAATTAGAAACAGCTTATATAATGATGATCACCATCCTAAGGAGACGCAAACCAATGAGCACTCATTTTTAAATTAATTCATTTTTCTAAGTATACTAATTAGTTATTGATTCTTAAGTTAATGTTTATTTTTGCATGAAAATAATGTTCATATTATTTGTTATAATGTAAAATATTTTTTGTGTGGACAAGTTCAACATTTTACAAAACAAATAATACATAATTTAGGGTGTCTGGGTGGCCCAGTCAGTTAAGCATCTAACTCTTCATTTCAGCTCACATTATGATTTCAGGGTCCTGGGATGGAGACCTGCATTGGGCTCTGTGCCCAGTGCAGAGTCAGCTTCAGAGTCTTTCCTCCTCTATCTGCCGCTCCCCCTGCTTGTACTCTCTCTCTCTCACTCAAATAAATAAAGGGGTGCTTGGGTGATGCAGTTGGTTAATCATCCAAATTCTGGTTTTGGCTCAGGTTGTGATATCAGGATCATGAGAGATTGAGCTTGGTATTGGGCTCCATGCTCGGCGTGGAGTCTGCTAAAGTTTCTTTCTCCCTCTGCCCCTTCCCGCACTCATTCTCTCTCTCTCTCCCTCTAAAATAGATAATCTCTAAAAAATAAAATAATAAATAAAATCTTAAAAAATACACAATTAGTTTTGGTATTTTGGGGAACAGCTTTCCTCCCAATTTCTTAAACAATTTTTATTATGAAATATTTGATATGTACAGAATACCTAATGTACATAAGTTATAAAAACATAATAATGAACTTCTATGTACCCTTCACTGAACTTAAAAAAAAGAATATTCCCTATAATGTTGAAGTTCCTTAATTTCTGCCCTGATTTTCACATTGATAAAAGCAATAAGAGACTGTAATACAGAACACTGAGGTGCTAAAATATTAGAGATGTTAATATTTTATCATTTACTTAATTCCTTCAATCATCATACATAAGGCACATAAATGAAACGTTGCTATATGACACTTAAATTATATTCCTTTTTAACTGGGCTAAGTGAAGAAGTCACGTATTCTTTTTCTTTTGTGGCCCTCCCAGCACAGTGAACATAATAAGTATTAAAGAAAGATCTGGTAATTCACATATATAATGCCAAAATAAAGCCTTAACTATCCCATATAACTTTAAAACAGGAGCTTGCTTTTAAATTACTAGAGTCCACTTGATTGACTGACTGACTTGCCTTAGAGTATGTGCTAGGCAATGTTTTACAAATATTAGTGCTTTATGACTATTAGCTCATTTAAACAGATACTCTAATTTACTCCCAAATTTGCTTAAATTTTACTATACAGAGGAATTTAAATGAACTTGCTATCCTCTGAAAGACTATATAAATCATCTGTTAAACATAATTCCCATTTGCCCCCATAATTCCCAAAAGTAAAACCACTATTCCTTATAAATGGAATTTTATTTTTATCAAGTAAGTTCAATTATTTTTGGTTAAACATCTATCTGGTAAATATGTCATATATATAAAAAGTAGACTATGTGGCCTTTTTTCATAACAATTGCATTATTCTTCTTTATTTAGTACTCATTTTTTAAATTATTAAGGTGGGAATAATGGTAATATTTTTTGAAAGATGGTATTTCAGGAGATTCATTTTGAAATCTTACCAAATTGTGTGGCTATTTTTACAAAACCTGAGTACGTTGGCCATTTTATGAACCAAAGTTTCACTGAAACTGGTCATTGGGAAGTCATTTGGAATTAATAGCTTTTAACTCATCTACCCCATTCAAAATTCCATCACTTTCATGAAAATTTAGTAAGAATTCTTATGAGAATTAAACTTTCAAAAGCAAAAACCAGTTTATACATGTACTTAATACCTAGTTTTACTGTTTTATATAATATAAAAGTTCTCATCCCCATTAATTCTCATGTTTTTCTCTGTTCCAAGGTTGGGAGTATTTTCCATTTGTCTAAAAAAAATCTCCAAGTACAAGCAAATTTTCTGTAATATCAATTCTTTACTTACCTCCCACATATGCTTATTCAGTCTTTACTGATGCAAGATTTTGAAAATAGGGCACTAAGAATATAAAGACTATTAAGATGGCCTGCAGTGAATGAACTTCCAGGCTAGTGAGACTATTAAATAATTATCCTTTACCATAGTGAGTACTGCATATACCATAAGGAAAATCTAAAAGATACCTTTCTCCCTTTAATAAATATTTAATATAATCCCAATCAAATTCAATAACTCTGAAATTAATCCAAAAGAATAAGCACTTGAAAATGTACATAACAGTTTTGGAAGAGGAGTGAAGGTGGTCTTGCCTAAATAGGTATTATCACATATTCTAAAGCTACAATACCTTAAAAGAGTTTGGCATTACCACAGAAACAGAGATCCCTGGGAGAGGAGGCAAGTACCTAAGCAGATACAAGATCCTAACTATAATAAAAGTGGTATTTCAAATAAGTGAGCAAAGGGTGAGTTGGGACGTTTTGGGGAAATAAATAAAATTACATTCCCACATCACATCAAAATTTAAAGCTGGTAATGAACCAAAAATTTTGAAAAACATAGGGATAAATATATAATTCTGAGATCACTAAGGACTGCCCAAAGCCTCAAAGCATGATACAAAACAAAAATTAACAATAATTTAAAAAGCAGAAACAGACCCATAAATACTGAAAATAAACTGTTTATGGGGAGAAGATAGACAAAACAGTGAAGGAGAGGGGGAGATACAGTCTTCTCAGGATGGCATGAATAAGTCGTGGGAATAAAAGGTAAAGCACTGGGAATATAGTCAATAAGTATTGTAATACGTTGTATGGTGACAGATGGTAGCTATGCTTGTAGTGAACATAAGCATAAAGTACAGAAATGTTGAGTCACTATGTTGTACACTTGAAACTAATATAGGGTGTCAGCATTACAAAAAAAGAATATGAAATCAATAAAAAGTTATACAAAAAAGAATACTTAAAAAGTAGTTCACGATTAAGTAGAAAAAAATGTCAAGCAGGCAAAAGAAAAATGAAAATGCAAAAATATCAAAGTTAAAGGAAAATGAAAGCTAAGAAGAATATTTGCAAATATCCAGCGGATCAAGGACTACTATCTTTAATATGTAGAACTATCATAATATATTTTTTTTAAAGGTGAGTGGATCCCTATTGTTTTATTTTATTTATGATAGGCACACAGTGAGTGAGAGGCAGAGACATAGGCAGAGGGTGAAGCAGGCTCCATGCACCGGGAGCACGACGTGGGATTCAATCCCGGGTCTCCAGGATCGCGCCCTGGGCCAAAGGCAGGTGCTAAACCACTGCACCACCCAGGGATCCCAGAACTATCATAATATTAAAGGGCATAATTTACAGTATGATATTTCCTAAGTGTGATATATATATATATATATAATATATACACACACACATTATTGATGGTAAGTACCTGCACTGATTTTTAGGTTACATTATAATTTTAATGATTATTTGTGTATTATAAAAATAGAAGAGCTCATTAAGCATAAAAACCACATTAAACTGGTGACTTCATAGATATTATTGTTCAGGATAAGGCCAAATTGGTTGATTACTTTTAAAGTAATGTTTATATTTTGGGGCACCTGGGTAGCTCAGTTGGTTGAGCAATCTGACTCTTGATTTTGGCTTGATTGTGATCTCAGGGTCCTGGGATCAAGCCCCACATTGGGCTCTATGCTCAGCAGGGAGTCTTCTTGAGATTTCTCTCTTCTTCTCCCTCTGCCCCTCCCCCTGGTCATGTGCACGCTCTAAAATAAATCTTTATTTTTTTTTTTTTTAAATTTTTTTTTATTTATTTATGATAGTCACACACAGAGAGAGAGAGGCAGAGACACAGGCAGAGGGAGAAGCAGGCTCCATGCGCCGGAAGCCCGACGTGGGATTCGATCCCGGATCTCCAGGATCGCGCCCTGGGCCAAAGGCAGGCGCTAAACCACTGCGCCACCCAGGGATCCCTAAAATAAATCTTTAAAAAAATGTTTATTTAAACAATATAAACGATCACTATAAAAAACTAAAGCAAAACAGAAATGTACAAAGATGAAATTAACAAAAATCTAACATTCCATCACTGAAAATGCACAGTGCTCACATTTGATGAAAATTATTTGGGAAAGAGGTGGTAATGACCTATAATATTGTCTATGCCTACATAGGTAAGTATAAGTGAAACAGTTATATGAAAACAGACTGAAGATGATGGCCTGGTCTATCACAACACGGTGCTGAACAGAGCCATCTACTGGTTGCAAATGGAGATAATACAGTTTTTCTTAAATATTAACATTGTTTATATACTTATATTAGTACTGCAGTGACAGTCAGTCACTGGTCTAGGTTATCAGGCTAACCTTTATACTAAATTTCCTACTATAAAAAGATTAACATTTTTCTAAACAACCAACCAACCAAAAAAAAAAAACCCACATACAAACATATATGCTTTAAACAATTACAGCCTACAACAATAGAGATGGACCTTGAGAGCATTATACTAAGTGAAATAAGTGAAAAAGAGAAAGACAAATACTGTATGATCTCACTTATATGTGGAATCTTAAACACAAACTCTAGAAAAAGTGACTGAATTTGTGGTTACTAGAATAGGGGTTGGAGGTAGAGAAATGGACAAAAGTGGTCAAAAGGTACAAACTTCCAATTATAATACAGGAGATGTAATGCACAACATGGTAATTATCGTTAACTGCTGTATGACATCTAGGAAAGTTGTTGAGAGTAGATCCTCAGAGTTCTCATCTCAGGTTAGATTTTTCTTTTTTTCTATCTATAGGAGATAATGGTTATTAACTAAAATTATTGTACTAATCAAATCACAATATATATGTTACTATTCTATACTCCTTAAACTTATACAGTGCTGTATGTCAATTATATCTCAATAAAACTAGGAAAAAATCTAAAACCAAAACTCTAGACATTTCCTCCGTAGGAAGGTACAAAGATAGTTAAAGGAAGAAAATCCGTAAGTAATGCATTAAAAAAATGGTAATGCTTATAGCACTGGTTAACAAACTAGGGGAGTGACGTGAGGGAATGTAGTTTACAGACATAAGGGGAGGTATGAGAAGTCCCAATGAGTTGTAGGGCAGTGATCTTCAAAGTGAGGTCCCCAGACCAGCAAGAGCATCAGCAACATCTGAGAACTTATAAGAAATGCAAATTCTCAGGACTCATCGCAGACAATGATTCAGATGGGGATGGGCCAAGCCATTTGTGTTTTAACAATCTTCCTTCCGGTGTGTTCTGACGGTCAGCTTTGAGAACCATTGTCTTAGATTTACAAAAACAAGATCAGAATCACCATCTTGCTCAGGTGGCTGACCAGGTTAGATCTGGGTCTGTTTGTATGGTTTGTACTTCTGCTCTAGTTGCAATTTTATGAAGTCCGTTTAGAGGAAAGGCTAGGGAAACAATAGCACTGTTATAGGGCTTAGAAATATGGACTCTACAATCAGAACTAGATTGGAATTCTTCCTTCATCTTTATTTGCAGTGTGATCCTCTCTGAACCTATGTCTTCATTTTGGGATACCGTCACCTACCTCATAAGGTTAGTGTTGGTAAGATGAGATGACACAAGTAACACACTTAGCACAATGCTTGGTATATAGCAAATACTCTTATTATTATTAAATCAATAATGAAGAGAAAGATTAAAATTTGAAAAAGACCAAGAACATGAACTAGTAATTTACAAAGTAAAGTAAAGCGGCAAACATTACTTTTCTCTATAAGACTAGCAAGGAGATAAGAAAACTAATATTTGAAAAATAATACTGGTGAGGGTATTTCATAACATGCATCTTCACACACTGGTAAGACTATAGTTACTGTAACTTTTCTAAAGGTGTAGAGTGCTCTCTAAGTGGACTCAAAGAGGTGAGACCTGGAATGGAATGTACTGGTAGCTAAATTAGGGATTGCATAACTGGAATGTACTAGTCTGTTTGATAACTAAAAACCATAACTTTGGGCACTAACATGTGGACTGTTCATATGTAACTGTGACCCCCTAAGAGGACAATGTCTGTAACAGTTCTTTAGGATTTTCTTACAAAGGGAGGCTAATAAACTCAAAATAACGTGACACAAATCTGAATGGGAATAAGAGCAAATCTACCAACATTTACCAAAAAGCTTTATCCTTTATCCCTATTCTGTAACACAGTAATTCCATCAGAATTTATCCTCAGGATGTAATATTACCAGAGATGTTTAGCAGGGATTACTGTTTATCATAGACATCTGAAAACAAAGTAGACCAAGAAATATGTATCCATAGAAATATTTATGTATTTATATTTATATAAATAAATATTAATTCACAAGATAGGAAATCATGCATTCTATTAAGTGATGTTGTAGAAAAATACTTCTTTTCACAGAAAGATGTCCATAAAAAGACTGTTCCCTAAAAAAGAATGCAAGGTACAGGTATGTATAGTAACATGAAAGTCATTAACAGTCATTTCTGGGTAGAATGAATAAGGAATTTCTATCATCAGTTTTTCTTCTGTAACTTTTCTTATTTCTTGATAATGAATATATATTACTTATATTAAGGCAATAAAATTTATTTAAAAGTACAAGAGCAGCTTCTCAATAAATGGCAGAACTTTTTAGAAAATGTATATTCTAAAGAGTTAAGACACTCTTCAGTCTCCAAATGATCATTATATAAATTATGATTTTAAGGCTCTTTTTTAGGCTGGTAAGGGGAGAAAGCAGGAATCTCTTGTTCATTTGCCAAGATACAAGATACAAGTGCTGAGAAAGAGTTTTAAATGTCAAACTAAAAAGCCAAAACAATAGATTTATTCTCATCATTAAGTCTGCCACTCACTAAAATGTGTAAAATATTCTGCATTTCTCAAACATGGCTAATGTATAACCCCCTCCCATAAAAAAGTCTAGTAGATAAGAAGTGTACACTTTTTCAAAAGGAAAAATATAGAAAAAACATATGTAAAAGTCCTCCAAGACTCGATTCCTCTTCTCAAAAGCAACCACTATAATTTGTTTCTTGTGCATACTTTTACAAATATTTTAAGGGTATGTATCCATATTACTTATTTTTGTTACAGTGCACACTGTTCTGCACATTCTTTTTGTCACCTGGCGACAGATCACTCCAGTATCTGTAGATCTGCTTCATTCTACTGCATCATATGACTATCGCACAGTTAGTCAACTCTTTTAATGGATATTTAAGTTATGTGGAATCCTTTCTGATCACTGTTGATGGTAAATAAAATATTCTAGGTAACTTATAGTTCCTACCCCTGTGTTTGTAGGAGAAATTCTTAGGAATAGAGATGATATATAAAAGGAAATATACACTCTTAAATTTTGACAGATATTTAGCCAAAAGCCCCTAAAGACAATGTATATGAATGCCTATTTTTCTATACTCTCATGAAAAGTGTATCACTAAACTCTTACTTTGCTAGTCTGACAGGTATTTTGTAATTTTAATATGTATTTCTCTTATTATGAGTATTACTCTAGATTATTACAAGTGAGATGAAGACCTCTGTATTTCCTTTCTGGAGAAAGGTCCATTTACTGCAATTCCGGAGAGAAGTTATAGCATACTTCTGTGGGCCCTTCTCTTGAAGAAGTAAATTTTTATTTATGCAAGTGACCTTTTGAATTGAAATAGTACTTGCAAAAGAGAACCCTGTGTTTATAACTTATATAATTTTTAAAGATAACACTGAAATTGTAAAAGTTTAAAATCTCCCTAGACCATCCCATACCCCTCCCACAAACTCTCCTTCAAGTTCTAGTTTGAGGGCACCCTGGGTGGCTCAGCGATTTAGTGCCACCTTCAGCCCAGGGTGTGATCCTGGAGACTCAGGGAGACTGGGGACCCAGTCCCATGTCAGGCTCCCTGCATGGAGCCTGCTTCTCTCTCTGCCTATCTCCGTGTCTCTCATGAATAAATAAATAAAATCTTAAAAAATAAAAAAAGTTCTAGTTTGAGAAAGACTAGTTTTGCCAGAAATTTTAGGCTATAGTTTCCTGTCACAAGGTGCCCCAACTAAGTTTTACCAACAATTTTATCCTTTCCATTTCTTGCCACATCTCCTTTCTAATAACAAAGGTTGGCTTACATTTTGCTAATTTCTATTTTTGTATTTCATTTATTCTTCCTTATTTAGCAAACTTCACTTGCTATGTTTGTTAAATTGAAGAAAAACTTTCTCACCAGGCTTGATCCTCAAGTCCACTCACAACCTCTGTATTCCATAAACTCTCATCCCTGAACAAAGTATTATATATGTAATGATTCTATATAAATACTAGATATAAATTATGTATTCATACATATATATGAATATATATGGGTGCTGGTATATGTGTGTGTTAGTATAAAGGTCATATATTCCATCTTCCCACCTAAATCCAGAGATTCTTGAGGTTTCTTCACTGTTATCTCATTTTATCAAATAAAATCTGCCTGATGTTTCAAGTAGCCAGAGCCACAATACTGCATGCTGTTACCAGTGTGCTAAATTTTTGTTTACTTCTGTAAGTTTATTTATAGAAAACTAATAATCATAATTGCTTCTGCTGGCTTAATTTCATTGTAATTTCTGCTAGATGGATTGACTTACTAGGGAAGTAAGCTTTACTTATCTTGCTTTGAAGTCATGTTTGCCTGTATGTACAAAGACAAGAGTTTATGCCAAGTATAATACGGATCTCCCTGTCTCAGCAGCTAAAGCCTGGGCTCTGAAGCTGGACTGTTGGGGTTTGAATCCAGCCTTCATTTCTTACTTGTTATGTAAACAACTGGGCAAGTTGCTTGATGTCTTTGACATTTTTTATTTTTTTAAAAAAAGGAGCGAGTTATACTAATTCTAAACTCATAGGGTTTCTATAAAGATGAACTGAGATAATCCAGGTAAAGCATTTTGCATGGTGCCTGGGTCAAAGTAAGATCTAGCTTCTCAACCGAAGGTCACAAAATTTTTTCTTTAAAATGAGGTTAACCGGGATCCCTGGGTGGCGCAGTGGTTTGGCGCCTGCCTTTGGCCCAGGGCGCGATCCTGGAGACTCGGGATCGAGTCCCACGTCGGGCTCCCGGTGCATGGGGCCTGCTTCTCCCTCTGCCTGTGTCTCTGCCTCTCTGTGTGACTATCATAAATAAATAAAAATTTAAAAAAATTTTTTTAAATGAGGTTAACCTTCTCTTTTCATTTTATACAAACAACAACCATCTTTCCTACCCACATGATCACTAGGGTTTTTGTAGGGCAAACTACCACCCAGAATTTAATATCAACATAAGGTAATTACACAATCAAGAATTATAACAAATTATGTTATGCTTGCATACATCATAACTTACCCCTCAATACCCAAATGGCACCATCTAGGCTTCCACTTTTTAGAAAAATTTCTGCTGCAATATTCACAATTTGACATCTTGGTGCTAACTTCTCAGGCCCTGTAAGTCCTTTTAAACTTGTAAAATGTATTTTTAATTCATATAGTTTATCTAAGACTTTCCTTCCCTGGAGTAAAAATAAAGAACACTAATTTAGTATCATGCATTTAAAGTATCATAGAGATGTAAAATCATTAATTATACAGAACTCAATTATCCAATTTGAATCATCCTTCTAGAAAATGGTTCTCAAAAGACTTTCCTTAAGCCCCCTCCTGATTAGCCACACAGATAGACAGGCAAGGGGAGAAAGCAGGGCTTTGCCTCTTACTAATCCTCACCCTGCTGAGCCCCTTTTCAAAGGCTTTTATACCTGTACTTGCCCTAAAGATTTCATTTGAAAAAGGAATTTCATGCCCTAATGTGGAAAACTATTGATTTTAAGTTTTGCACTTCTGTTGATCACCCTAAGAGCCAAGAGTGAGAGTGAAAATCAAGATGATATCTTATTAAATTTACATAAAGAAGGATAGTGGGGGGAAAAAGAATAAGATTGCTGGCTGAAAATTGTTTTATTGATTCAATAGACTAATTATTTCACATAGTCTACATAAAGATTATTTCTAGTCTAGACATCAGAAATTAGATATATATTATTATTTCATATCAGGGGTCAGCAAACTTTTTCTAGTTTGACTCCACAGGTCACATGTGGTCAAGCTATACATTCTTTTTTGGTTGTTGCTGTTTTTACTTTCTAACTCTTTAAAAATGTAAGAAACATTCTTAGCTCTTGAGATGCACAAAAACAGGCTATAGGTCAGATTAGGTCTTTAGTCTGTAGATCCTTGTCCTACATTATATTCTATGATAACTGAGTCAGATGCATATTGCGATATCAAGGTACTTTCAAGTTGATTACAGAAATGAGTGCATTTTTAAAGACATAGCTCTAGCTTAATTTTAATGGTTTTATTTTTGTGTTCAAAAGGTTAACTAAAAAACATCATACTAAATAAAATAAATAAGACAGTGAAAAATTTAAATTATAATACAGGTACAAACTTACCAGCCTCTTAAGAAATAATAATAAAATTAACACATACTCTAAATTTTCAGGGATCCCTGGGTGGCTCAGAGGTTTAGCACCTGCCTTCAGCCCAGGGCGTGATCCTGGAGTCCTGGGATTGAGTCCCGCATCGGGGTCCCTGCATGGAGCCTGCTTCTCCCTCTGCCTGTGTCTCTGCCTCTCTCTCTCTCTCTGTGTGTGTCTCTCATGAATAAATAAAATCTTTAAAAATAATAATAATAGAAATAAAAATTTCAGCAAAATCTTTGTCGAAAAGAATTTATGTTGTCCTCAATTTCTCAAGCACTAAATATCCAAGAAATTAATGCTATGATGAACCTTAAGCTAAACTGTGAGACCAGGGACAAGGTACATTCTGCTTATCCCAGGCCTACCACACAGTGAGTGCTAACCTCTTGACCTTGGAGACTGGAGACCTTACGTATAAGGATTCTGTTGCTGTTTTGTTTAATTAAAAAAAAAAATCCATGAATTTGTATAGTATGAATGACCATGGACTTAAATGTTATTAACGTATTCAGTTATGAAATAACCTTTTTATAAGAAGAAGGAAGTAACGAAAGATACATTATAATAGCTGATTCAGTATTGACTCTCAACTGCTCCATTCATCCCTCAGCACTTAATTCTATTTTAGATTTTCCTGTTCTCTACTTTATTTCACTTTATTGAATCTATAACCACCTGCTACATCAGGGAAATCTAAAAAATGGTAATTCAGGATGGTCCAGAATAACTAGACCACTTCTACAGTGAGCTAAACCTCAAAGGTAGATATCAAGATACATGGTATATAGTATATAGTGTTCAAGACCATTCTAGGAGATGATTTTTAAGGAGTTAATTGTGAATTCCCTGAGTTCATCTTAAAAAAGGTGTCTTGAACTTTTGCAAAATTATAACGTTATCAATAACGTTAGCAAAATTCTGTGTTGAAAGTTGCTTCAAATAAATGATACTTAGCATAGCTTCCTAAGTGCTCCCTATACTGAGATTCTTCAGGGTAGCTGGCCTCATGCTACTACCTTTCCACATCTGCCTAATACACTAGCTAATAATTCACTTACTAGTTTGGGACTAATTTTGTCACTTGTAACAATTATTAGCAAATTTCTTACTTGCAGGGTTAACTATATTTTGTTAAAAAATGTAAGATTAACACTCTCTGTACCAAGCCAAAATGAAAATTTAATGACATACCTTGGACCACAGCAACAGCTTGTGATAGAAGTACATAGCACTGATTCCAATTCTTCCCAGCAAAGTTTTATCGACTTCACTAATTTGTGGATCTTTGCTAACTGAAACACAAAGTAGGCAAGTGGAAAAAAGTGAAAAAGTAATTTAAGATGGCAGCAAAGCCAAATTAATATGAAATTACTGATACTAGAACAAAGACTAATAAGTGTGTGGACAAACCACAGCCTATAAGGACAAATCTGGCCTGTGTCCTGTTTTCGTACAGCTTGTGAGCTAAGAATGGTTTCCCTATTTTTAAAGGGTTATTTGAAAGGAAAAGAAAACTATATGATTGTGTGGTCATATGTGATCATGTGGAGTTTCAAATATTTACTCCTGACCCTTTGCAGAAAAGGTTTGCTGACTTCTGATAGAGAATATAGCAGTGAAAAGCTCATGCCAAAAAAAAAAAAAAAAAAGTCTCAAAAACATATGAATTCTGTTGACTGATAGTACTGAATATAGTAACAACTTTGATGATTCAAAACTTCAGGTGCTAATTTGCTAGGAACAGTTTTACCAATCTGACTGAAAAGAAAAACATAAAACATGAGAAAAATAACATAAAACATCAATTCTTAATTTTATATCATTATAATCTAACTTAATAATAAAAAGATGAAACATTTATAAAGTGAAGAAGTATCTGAAATCTGCAATATTAAGTTATCTCCAACATGGAAAACTATGGAAAATAGTAAGAACTCTACCTTTGTGTTAAGAACACTGCAACACCCTAACACATACAATACTCAGACCCAAACAGTGACATTTTACCTGTTTCAGCAAATTCACAAAATGGAACACCTGGTCTCTCTTCTTTACAGTCTTTTGTTAGTGTTTCAGCAATACAAGCACAAAATCTCTGGAAATCTGCAAAGTTTTCACAGCCCATTTTTATGTTAATGTATAAATTTCCCAGTTTGGTCCAGTCACCTTTTTCTTTACAATGCTATCAGAATTATTAGAAACAAAACAACAAAAAAAAAGAAAGCTGTCATTTATACAAACATATTACGGAATAGGCACATGCAGGCATTAGATATATATAAATTAATAACAGAATCTGTAGATCTTATAAACTTAACAGTGTTATACTCCATCAATAACTTGCTATTGTACAATTTGTGTTTCTGACTATACCATAGTATCTATGAATTCCAGATGGGCAATGTACATTTGTTTTAATAATCTTTGCCCAATGTACTTAATGATGTCACCCCCAAACCTGAACTAGACAGTGGACACAGATTTTATGGAAAACAGATGATTAACTATATGATTTGAGCTGTCTCTACAGAAATAAATTATTTTACTACTTTTAGAGATTGCATTTTTCTATTATTTGGCCCCATTTATAATTTTGGGCCCCATCCTTTTGGGTATTGACATTTCTTCTATGAAAGGGACTACAAAGTAAGTTTTGTAAACTTCCCATTTTCCCATTATTTTCTATTACAAAGTAATAATTTTCCACACCAAAAAAAAAAAAAAGATTTTTCAAGGATATAAATACTAACTCAGACTAAACCAACAATTACTAGGTGAGTACAAAAATGATCTTAAACAGTAAAATCATCTTGAAAGTTCTCTATTTTTTTCTTCTTTCTTTCTTTCTTTCTTTCTTTCCTTTCTTTCTCTCTCCTTCCTTCCTTCCTTCCTTCCTTCCTTCCTTCCTTCCTTCCTTCCTTCCTTCCTTCCCTTCCTTCCTTCCTTCCTTCCTTCCTTCCTTCCTTCCTTCCTTCCTTCCTTCCTTCCTTCCTTCCTTCCTTCTTTCTTTCTTTCTTTCTTTCTTTCTTTCTTTCTTTCTTTCTTTCTTTCTTTCTTTCTTTCTTTCTTTCTTTCTTTCTTTCATAGTTCTCTGTTTCTTATACTCCAAATGCCTGGAGAGGGCACACTGACCTTGGCTTTCTGCTATCATTTCACACACTGCAGACATTTAGGGATTGTGACAAGAAGGTCAACTTTCTTGTGCACTGAGACTGTCCAGTGACAAGAATTAAAGGCTAAGCCTTAGATTATACATTAATATGTTAATTTTGAAGCGGAAAAACTATTTCTAGAATTATTTTTAGAACAGTCTATAACTCTAGAAATTGCATTTCAAAGTATTAAAAAATATTAGACTTCTTTTCTATGAGCATTTTCTCTGTATAACAACAGTGTTTAAAAAACTTTTCATAAAATGGAGTTATTTTTCAAAGTTTCTTTGTTATTGGTTTTCAGAGATCTCAGCAATTTATTTAAAAAAAAAATAAGTGTCATACCTCTATTTCGTTCAAGGCTGAATCTAAATCACATTTCCAGTTCTTTTTAAATTGCCTCATCCGTAACCTTTAATAATAGAAAAGGGTTAATTATGTTCACCCTTCAAAAGTCACTATTGTCCCTAATTCACTTGTTCTATAGTTTATACCTAAGAGAGTGGAAAAAAAAAAGGAATGGAGTAACATACTATAAAAATTCTTGAGAGATGAAGAAAACAGCAAACACAAAGATACCTACCTCACACTATTTCCTTCCAAAACCATAGGCAACAAAAAGGAAAAAGCAAAATCCACATGAAACCATACTTTCAACCTTTAGGTAATTTTAAGAGAGTGACAAACTTCAAAAAAATTGTGAATTAAAGGAGAAAAAAAACATTAAAGCCAGCACTTGTTCTTTCCTGCTTCCACTCCACCCTTGCTGATCCCACAAGGATTTGTGATAAGCAGAAACAAACCAAAACAACACACACACACACACACACAAAACCCATGGAAAAACTGAACAGGCAGCCGTAACTAAAAAAAATCCTACCACAAAGACAAAGTCCACCTTAAGTTTGAAAAATGCTTAAAAAAAGGGGGGGGGGGTAAATTAGAACACAACCCACACAGCAGGAACTTAAAAGATCTATGTGATTTAAAGAACACAATCTATAAAATGCATAGCTTCTGGGAAAGAAAAAATAAGACAAAAATGAAAGAAGAAGCATCCTTTGCCAACTGGAAACAGGAAAAAAAAAAAAGAAGAAAAAGGAGAAAGAATAGGGTGCCATTAAGCTAAGAGTACCACATAACAGCCAACTTTGGGGTCAATTTTGATCATTAGTCCCAATCCTCTAAAAATTATTCCAGAGTATTAAAGAGAAAGGATAATTTACTAATTCCTTTCATGAATCAAGTATAAATAACACTGATACCTAAACTAGATAAAGGCAGAACAAAGAAGGAAAAGCATAGAACAATATTACTTATAATGATGATGCAAAAAGCTAAAGAAAATATTAACAAGCAAATCAGTTTTCAAATTGAAAAGAGTTATGGGGATAACAGTTGTGATGTGAATGTATTTAATACCACTGACTCTACACTTAAAAATGGTTAAGATGGTAAATTTTATATGTATTTTACCTCAAAATTAAAAAAAACATTGACAATACAAAATCACCTTAAAATGACACAGTGGCATTTACTTCACAAATGTAAGGTAACTACAATATTAAAAAAAAATCCATCAGTATCATATACCATAATTAATAAATCTAAGAGAAAAAAATCATGATTATTCTCATAGATATTAAAAAAGTGATAAAATTCAACGTCAATTCACCTACAACTATAAGAATTGAGAGATACTTTCTTAAAGCAATTAAATATATACACTGTAGTCCTAAACCTATGACTATATTTAATGAGAAATTCTAGAGAGATTTCCACTAAGATCAGGAACAATGAAAGGACGCCCACTATATCCATTATTATTCAGTACTGTACTAGAGGTATGAGCCAAAGCAATTAGATAAAACAAATTACTTACAGGCATAACAATGATAAAGAAGAAGTAAAACCCTGTTCACATATATGATATGATAGTATACCTGGAAATGCTCACAGATTCAAAGACAAAACTAACTCAAACATTAAAGACTTCAAATTTCTAGAAAATTTACAAACAAAAAAAATGCCCTTTATGTATACAAAAAATAAAGAAATTCAGTATATGATGATACAGAAAAACTCACATTCAATAGCAACAAAGATTAAATACTTATTGGGAGAAACCCTAAATATTCCTGAAAAACATGTAAGTTTGAACAACAGAAAACATTTCATATTCTTTAACTGAACTCAATGTTATAAAGTTGTTAGTTCTCGCTAAGTTAATTCATAGATTTAACATAATTCCTATAAACATACCAACAAGCTACTACATGGGGTTAGGAAGTTGATACTGACGTTCATGTAGTAAAAACATATATGCAATAAGAACAAGAAAGACATTGAAAAGAAAAATTTTCCAGGAGATTATCTCTACAAGGGGATCCCTGGGTGGCTCAGCGGTTTAGCACCTGCCTTTGGCCCAGGGCGTGATCCTGGAGTCCCGGGATCGAGCCACGTCAGGCTCCCTGCATGGAGCCTGCTTCTCCCTCTGCCTGTGTCTCTGCCTCTCTCTATCATGAATAAATAAATAAAATCTTAAAAAAAAAAGATTATCTCTACAAAATGTTAATGCATACTTTAAAGCCTCTATAATTAAAAAACTGTAGAACTGGTGCAGGAATAAACAAATAGTTCAGTGGAATAGAATACAAAGTCCAGACACAGACCCAAGCACAAATGAAATTTAGTATGTGATTAAGGTAGCATTTCAAATCACTCAAATTAAATAAATAGTGCTGGGGAAACTGGAAAACTCTTGGGAAAAAAAATTAGGTCTCTATCTTACACCACACATAAGAATAAACTCCAAATAGATTAGAAACCTAAATATAAAAATGAAACCATACAATAGAAGAAAACATGAGTGAATTCCTCCAAAACTTTGATGCAAGGAAATTATGACTCAAAATTCAGATGCAATAAAAAATAACTATGAATCAAAACTGAGGCAATTAAAAAACACTGATAATTTAGGTTGAATAAAAATAAAAAATTTTTCATGGCAAAAAGCACCAAAAGACAACTGACAAACTGGAAAAAAATATTTGTAATTATATAGCACCAAGGTCTAGTACAATATATTAAGAACTCCTGACATTTAAGGAACAAAGAACTAGAGTCTAACAAAAATGGGAAAAGACAATTCACAACACAAAGTATAAAAATGGCCCTCAAGTATATTAAAAGAAAATGTTCAAACTCATTTATAATAAAAGAAATGTAAATTCAAACAACACTTTGAAACAGCATTTGTTACTTAACAGATTAGAAAAGATAAAAAATGACAATACACTGTTAGCAAAGCTTTGCTGAATAGTCTGTTTTTTATATGTGCATGTATTTATATGTTTACATATGCACATATACCAGAATTCATATACACATAGACACATATACCATATATACAAACATCACATATATATACATACATACTGTATACACAAATTGGTACAGCCCTTCTGGAGGGAAATTTGGCAGTATCTATGTACTTACCTTTAAAAACTTATTTTGAAATAATTATAGACTCACAGGAATTTTCAAAATAGTACACAGTCCTGGTACCCTTTGTCCAGCTTCTTCCAATGATGATTTCTTATATAATTGTAGAACATAAAAACTAGGAAACTGACATTGTTACAATACTGCTAATTAGACTATAGACGTTATTCACTTTTCACCACTTTCTACATGCATTCATCTGTGTGTGCATAGTTCTATGCAATTTTATCCCATGTATAGATTCATGTAACCATCAGCACAATACAGATACAGAACTGTTCCATCGCCACAAAGAAATTTCCTCATGCTATCCATTTATATTTATCTCCCAAGCCCTGTTCCCAGGATATTCTGTCGACCATTAATCAGTTCTTCATATCTGTAACTTTGTCATTTTGAGAATGTTATATAAATGGAGCCATGCAGCCCAGGTGGCTCAGCGGTTTAGTGCCGCCTTCAGCCTAGGGCGTGATCCTGGGGTCCTGGGATCAAGTTCTGCATCAGGCTCCCTGCATGGAGCCTGTTCTCCCTCTGCCTGTGTCTCTGCCTCTCTCTCTGTCTCTATGTCCCAGCCTAACGTGGGACTCGATCCCGGGTCTCCAGGATCAAGCCCTGGGCTGAAGGCAGGGGCTAAAGGGCTGAATCACCCAGGGATCCCCTGCTGTTGGCATTTTGATAGGGATCATTAAACATGTAGATTGCTTTGGGTAGTATAGACATTTTAACAGTATTGGTTCTTCCAATCTCTGAGCATGGAATGTCTTTTCATTTCTTGTGGAATTTCATTTCATTTCTTCAATTTCTTTCATCAGTGTTTTTATAGAGTATAGGTCTTTCACCTCTTTGTTTAGGTTTATTTCTAGCTATCTTATGGTTTTTGTTGCAATTATAAATGGGATCTATTCCTTGATTTCTCTTTCTGCTGCTTCATTATTGATGTATAGAAACATGACAGAGGGATCCCTGGGTGGCGCAGCAGTTTGGCGCCTGCCTTTGGCCCAGGGCGCGATCCTGGAGACCCAGGATCGAATCCCACATCAGGCTCCCGGTGCATGGAGCCTGCTTCTCCCTCTGCCTATGTCTCTGCCTCTCTCTCTCTCTCACTGTGTGCCTATCATAAATAAATAAAATAAAAATTAAAAAAAAAGAAACATGACAGATTACTGTACATTGATTTTGTAACCTGTGACTTTGCTGAATTTATTATCAGTTCTAGCAGTTTTTTGTTAGAGTCTTTTGGGTTTTCTACACACACTATCACTTGACTTCTTCCTTGCCAATTTGAATGCCTTTCATTTCTTTTTCTATTCTGATTGCTGTGGCTAGGACTTCCAGTACTATGGTAAATAACGATGATGAGAGTGGACATCCTGTCTTATTCCTGGCAGTAGAGGAAAAGCTCTGTTCTTCCTCACTGAGGATAACATTAGGTGTGGGGTTTTTGTATACAGCTTTTATGTTGAGGTACATTCCCTCTAGCCCTATTTTGTTGAGAGTTTTTATCATGAATGTATGTTGTACTTTGCCAATTTTTTTTTTTTTTGCCAAATGCTTTTTTAAGATGCAACTGATTTTTGTATGTCAATACTGTATCCTGCAACTTTACTTCATTTATTAGTTCTAACAGGTTTTGGTGGAGTCTTTAAGGTTTTCTGTATGTTGGATCATGTTATCTGCAAACAGACTATTTTAACTATTTATAATTTTAAAGTCTTTTATTTCTTTTTCTTGCCTAATCACTCTGGCGAGGACTTCCAGCACTATGCTAAATAAAAGCAGTGACAGTAAGCATCATTTCCTTGTTCCTGACCTTAGAGGAAAAGATTTCAGCTTTTTTACCATTGAGTATGATGTTAGCTGTGGGCTTGTCATATATGGGCACTGATATAGTGAGGTACATTCTTTCTA